GAATCGATTGACACTGATAGCTCGACTTTGTTTACCTTTGTTACATTCGACGTAATGAAAATTTGCTCTTGTTTTCAGGGTGGATTTGAGCTATTGGATACAATTTCCTCTTTTAGTATACTCATAAAATTCGACACATTTTTATTGGCGAATTTCCATGTAAAATACCACATGATTATCATGTGTCCAAACATAAACAGAATCCACTCAGAAGTACGCATGAAACTTATGAGTCAAATGAATAGTATGTGTGGTTACACATGAATTTCATGTGTACACATAAGAACTATGTGTCCGACACATATATATAATTTGTTAATCACATTGCAAAAATTCATGTGTGGGACACATAAAAATAATCATTGAATTTTTATTAGTGTAGAAATGTTTATAATACTATTTGAGTAATAACTTACCGGAGAATGTCCAGTTCTGGACTAGGTGGGATTTTTTTTTAATGCGGAACAAGCTGTTTGTTTCCTTTTTATGCAGGGAACTAATTACACGCCATTATTCAGATTTAGTATAGTTTTGAAAGAAATTTTAATCGGATCAATGTATAAACATTGCTTAACCATAAAATGATTAAATTTTAATCTATCTTTGTAGTAATATTTTTGAGTGTACCAGTCAAAAAATGTGTAATTTTATACTCATTAATGGGTTAAAAAAAACTTCAAACTATTCCTAATAAAAAATAACCATAAACGAATGCTAACCCAAATCATTGAACTATTCCATAAATGGTTTGGATGATACCCAGAACACGTCGTTAAGCAAATTAACCATACAATTTTTATTAGGGATGCTGTATCTAAAGCCCTACAGTAAAAGTATGGACGACTGTCACCACAAAACTGAAAAAAGCTGTTCCAATCGAGCAAAAGCGGTGCATTTTGACGGTTCGATTGGAACAACTTTTGACAGACGTCCATACTTTTACCAAAGATGAATACTAAGATGAAACTGTCGGAAGAAAAACTTTCTATTTTAGTGTCTTCTTTCACGGTCCCTTTCATCCAAGGAGAACCCCCCGTATTCAAGGTAATTTTGTGGTTTTGCTGCCCCCTCGGAAGAGATGAAATTTTGCGCTCATTTTTATCAAAACAATCACACCAAAATCAGAGATGTCCCATTTTTTAATTACTCGATTGACAACTAATCGATTATTTTTTTGTTCGCTGTGCTGCCATTTTTCCACCAATGAGAGTGCAGCACATGTTTGAAACGATCGGTGATGATCCTGTGGAGATGTTAATGCTTATATCGGCAAGATCTAACCGATTATAAATAGTTTACTTTTCGGTTCGTTAATCGATTAAACGATTATTCGAATGAAAATCGGACATCACTAGATGAATGTGAAACGTCATTTCAAATATAAGGCCGTTCATAAATAATGATACAATTTGAAAGGGACCGGGACTAATCACAAATTACGTCTCCATGGTAACTGAAATAAACACGAGTGTTCACCGGTTGCTTTTACTGTAGGGCTTTAGCTGTATCCTGCCTTGTTTACGCACGCCATTTGTATATATTTCAGCGAAGATCACTTTCGTTTGTGGTATTACCAAGCCGGAGGCGGTGAGTTCGATTCCCGGTCCGGTCGAGGGAATCTTTCGGGTTGGAAATTTTCTCGACTTCCCTGGGCATAGAGTATTAGTACGTTCAGACTACAGAGTTATAACATGTTACAGCGCTATCTTGATGGTGGTTTCTGTGTTGCAATTATTTGACACCCGTTATAACATGTTATAACTCTCCAGTCTGGACAGCGTTTATTTGGTATTGGCATCGAAAGCTCTCAATTAATAACTGTGGAAGTGCATTTAGAACACTAAGTTGAGAGCACGCAATAAGCTTATATGCGCTAAGCAATAAGCTTGAAATGCGAACAAGAAGAAGATATAAATATAAAAAAATGTGTATTATTTTCTCATTTACGTGTTTACGCTCACGCTAACTTGAAAGTACCCATTTAATGAGTATCTTTTACTCTTTTTTGAAATCCATAGTAAGTTGTCAAAAAATGGGTATTTTCCAAAAATGAAAAATGGTTACTTTTTATTCACTTTAAAAAATGACTTCATGCAATAAAAAAGGGTAAAGACATTATTGTTATTTTGCATTTTGGAAACATGTCGAAAAAAATCACGGCTCAAGAGGATACGCGGAGGAAGCTCGAACGGAAGTTTGATTGTGCTAGCAGATTCCATCTGGCCGGTATTAATTCGGGTGAAAATAGTGCACCGGACAGAAGTCTAACCGAGCAAACCGAGGTGATTTTCAAGAGGTAAGAGCTAGAAGTCAAGCTAGAAGTGTGATGTGTTCCGTTCTCAGTTCCGTTTCAGGTTAGCGGAATGAAAGTACAGGAGATTGCCGTTAGCTTCGATTAGTGGAGACTGGCGAATGAATGCGTTTCAACTAATTTTACTGGGTATCCGTGGAACCAGTGGAATTCCCGAAAAAAAAATTACAGTGAAATTTTCAGTGGAAACAATGCTCTAACATTAATATTTATTGTCGACAATACAAATGATTGTTAAAATGTTGTACTCATCCGAAAATGGCAAAACTGGAACCTAGCTGTACAATGAATGTACATAATAAAATGTTGTTACAATGATTTTTATCGTATTTTTCATTTACTTTATTGTTAACATGATTCGAACATGAACAATAATGAACAACTCTATTACAATAAAAATTGTTGTTACATTAAATATTGGTGTGTTTTCATTGTGGGTTACCTCGCGAATAATAAAAAAAATCTAATTGAAGCATGCAGACTATGAGAGGGACAGCAACACTGCCAATGAAATCAAGATAGGCGCTGCTCGTATGGCTCTGGCTTTGACAGTTCGTTTGGCTCAGAACCAGCCAATCCGCGTCCGCTCATCTCTTATCCTAGACCCTCTCTAAAGCTGGGTTAAGATGGTTCAATTCAGCGTTCAACTCACTTGAACTGCGAAAGGAACGTCCAGAAATCTGACCGATATCGGACTTGTTCTATTCGTTGTCAAGTAAATTGAACGCCTACGACCAGATCGGTTTGAGTTGAATTCAACTCACCTGCCTCATCTAAATCCCGCTTAATGCAGACCTTTTCCGTGCAGTCATACCAACCGGTGAACACTCGTGTTTATTTCAGTTACCATGGAGACGTAATTTGTGATTAGCCCCGGTCCCTTTCAAATTGTATCATTATTTATGAACGGCCTTATATTTGAAATGACGTTTCACATTCATCTAGTGATGTCCGATTTTCATTCGAATAATCGTTTAATCGATTAACGAACCGAAAAGTAAACTATTTATAATCGGTTAGATCTTGCCGATATAAGCATTAACATCTCCACAGGATCATCACCGATCGTTTCAAACATGTGCTCTCACCGGTCCCTTTCAAATTGTATCATTATTTATGAACGGCCTTATATTTGAAATGACGTTTCACATTCATCTAGTGATGTCCGATTTTCATTCGAATAATCGTTTAATCGATTAACGAACCGAAAAGTAAACTATTTATAATCGGTTAGATCTTGCCGATATAAGCATTAACATCTCCACAGGATCATCACCGATCGTTTCAAACATGTGCTGCACTCTCATTGGTGGAAAAATGGCAGCACAGCGAACAAAAAAATAATCGATTAGTTGTCAATCGAGTAATTAAAAAATGGGACATCTCTGATTTTGGTGTGATTGTTTTGATAAAAATGAGCGCAAAATTTCATCTCTTCCGAGGGGGCAGCAAAACCACAAAATTACCTTGAATACGGGGGGTTCTCCTTGGATGAAAGGGACCGTGAAAGAAGACACTAAAATAGAAAGTTTTTCTTCCGACAGTTTCATCTTAGTATTCATCTTTGGTCATACAATATAATAATAAAAGATTCCACCACTTGAAGATGTCAGGAAGGAACTCACAGGTGGAAGCATATTTCATGGGCGATTCTCTCCAGTAGAATGCATTAACTTATCAACGACGCTCAACCACCAAGGAGACGTGACGTAGAGAGATCGAGTTCAGGGGAGTTGGCCTCCATTTCTCACAAGTTCCGGATCGTATCTCAATCCATAACCAGTAAAAAAAGGACTCACCCGTAACAGACATACCGCTTCCCTTCCCGGAGCGATGTTTCATTTTTTCGATTTATTTTTAAAGTCGATAAAGTAGATCTGTCAAGCCAACACATACACTCTAAAGTACACTGTTATTTTTTTTAATCAATAAATTCGCCAACCAACAGTAAAATAACAATAATATATAATGTTATTGAAAACCAATTATATGGGGAAATCCTCGGGGAAATCACGAAAATTTCATTGTTAAGATACTTAACAACCCCCCTTTTTTATTGTAAATTTTCCATTTACCATGAAATTTACTGTTTTGTACAACATAAATCAAGGTAAATTTATTGTAGACGTAACAATATAAATCATTGCTAAGACAATAATTTTCGTCTTATTGTTACATTGTTTTTTAATGTATTTTTGTTGTTATTTTTTTTCGGGTTCCATCGAATATCAGGATGATTTGGCAATGGAAGACGGTGACGAGAGTTGAAATTGGAACAGCCGGAACAACCTTTTCTCGTCAAAAGGGTGGCAGGTTACAACCTATAACACATATTTTATTATATTTATTATATAAAAGATTCTTATTTGTTTTTTTCTTTTGACTACTTTTAATATTTGGTTAAATTATTAACGGCAGGAAGCCCATAAAATAATTTTGTTGATAAAATGGGTATTTTTTATTCATCTCCAGTAAGAACATGAAAGCTAAAAAGTACCCATTTTTAAAGTATGCGTCAAATACTCATTAATTAGTAATATTGGGTTTACTCATTTAATGAGTTAAGCCACTTTTCTTAAAAATTGGTCTTTTTTACCCATTAATGGGTACTTTCAAGTTAGCGTGCTGGTTACCGTGTGTTAGCTTTTACTCACTTTTGAGGAAGATTGAGCGAGCGTGAAGAGACGTGAAAGTTGGTCAGTCAAAAATATTTTGTATGAGTGGTACTGCACTATTTTTGGTTAAAATGAAGGAAAAGAATCGGCATATATCCATGAAAACCAAAACTGCTTGGAGAAAAAACATTAATATTTCGGATGTTGACAAATTTCTGGAAGAACAACGGCAGGAAGAACGTATTGGGTAAGAGAAAATATATTCATATTATAACCTACAAAAAAAACTACACATGTGGATTGTTTATAGAAATGTTGCGGACAAATCCGATGCAGAACTGTTTTTAAACGAGACGATTCCAAAAACCGACAAGAGCTTGAGGAACATTAGGAAGGAAAAATTCACCGCCAGTCCTAAATACTGTATCTCACTGGAAAGCAGCTCGAAAGTCGCGGATCCCATTGTTAAGCGAAACAGAGTGACAAATGAAGCAAAACTACTAAAAAGATTTACACAAGCGGATCAACTGGAGCAAAGGAAATTGAAATCTGTTGGCGGCAAACGCAAGGCGAAACGTCCTTTGGCAAGTTTTGATAAGGACATTTGGGAGGAGGAACCAATACCGGAAGAAATGAAAAGCGAATGGTTCCCGCAAAATGTTGTTCTGCATCATATGAAGAATTCCGGTAAACCACTGGTTAAGGTCACTGCATCGACGCACGCGAAACCAAATGCAGTTCCGTGAGTAAAATGTTACCTTCCTTTTTCGACACAGGAGTTTACAGATAATTTTACCGTTTTCCCACAGAAATGTCGAACTACCGGTAAGCGGTTCCAGTTATAATCCGTCTGTTGACGACTACAACGAGCTGAAACAGGTAGTCATCGAGAAGGAACGGAAGAAAATAAAATATAGTCAGCATTTGGATCGAGTCGTAACTCAAAAATTCACCAAAATGTCCAAAGACGAAAAGGAAGCTTTGGTGTTCAAGGAAATGTCGGAAGGCTTGTTTGAAAACAAAGGTTAGTTGCGTTGTTCGGATTTATGTGATGCTGTGTCCATTTCCTGCTCCTATTAATATAATGCGAAAAGAGAAAATGATGAGTAGATAGTTTGTTTTCAACTGACCCTTTTTCTGAGTGGCGTTGTTCCGCAATAATTGTTCTAGTAAAGCGATGGGTTTTGTCCAAAACTGTAGCGCCGCTTATTTCACTCCATAAATGCATCTATTAATGGGAGCTATTTTTTCTAATACAGAAGAAGCTGTTGTTGATGGCGAAGATAGTGGAAACGAATACACTGCAGTTAACCAACCGGTGCAAAACAAGAAGAAAATGCGAAGCGAACAAAATCGAAAGTTCCGAGCAGTTGCCAAACGCAACATGGAAACTATCACCAAGATTGAACTCAAGAAGTTGAAGGATATAAATAAGTAAGTTAATTAAACTTAAAAGTGGTGTGTTCAAGTATTAGCATTCTTTAATTAATTTTAGGCTCCAGCAGTTGAGTTCAGAAGTGAATCAAAAAGATAAGATAATTGAAAAGAAACAGGACAACCGTGCTAAACGTATGGAGGAAAAAAAGCAACAACCTGGGCGCGTGGCTTACATGCAATATGAAGAAGCTGAAGATGATTTTCTGGAGCCCACAGCCTTGGCAGACAGCTTGCGAAAACTAGAACCAGCCAAAAGTTTGGTGGCAGATCGATTCAAAAGTTTCCAAAAACGCACATTGATTGCACCTAAGAAACATCGCGATGGTATACCACGCAGTAATAGGTCCACACTCAAGAAGTGGAAACGTTACACCCTGAGTACTCATAAAGAGCCCTCGTAAGCATTTGGTTGTTATGATTCGGTTAGGTTACATTTTGCATAAAATAAAATATCAATATAAAAAAAAAACGACAAAGGATTATTTTAGATAAAACCCGAGTCTATCAACTTCTCCCTCAAACAACACCATGATGACGTCATGCTCGTTTGGCTAGTTGTTGTGTTTATAGGGAGCTGCACCGTCGGGTTAACCTCACTTATTTTGACATCTGGCATTGGCTGTTTTACATGAACTTAAAAAAAAATATTAAATGTTTTTAGATTTTTTGGAGAGGAATATTTTTCAAACAAACATAGTCGAATATCATATCTTTTAATTATTTTTTTTAAACCTCAAATACATTGACGTCATTAATGAACTCAGTGTTGTTTACAAGCACTTAGGCTCTGAACCATTTGGTGGATTATTTTAACTTTTGGTTAAAATTTGGCAGATGGAAAGTTATCGATTAACCCTGCTATCCGAGCATGGTTATTTCTGACAGACAAGAAGTTAAATTTTGACAAGTTTGGCTGAGTTCTTCTCGAAAACCGGTCGATCGACAGCACAGGGATTTTCGAACATAGAAAATAACTTTCGAAATGTCACTTTTAACCACGAGTTAAATTTAACTCGGCAAATGGTTCACAGCATGGACCCAAAGGTCAGGACCAATAGCGTGGAAGGAATTTATCGAAAAATCATGGTTCTCGGTAATAGAATGGAAGTGCACGCAGTAGTAGATTTTTTAGATTTGTGGGTAGTTATATTTTTGAGTGCATGGGGCAATGCTGTCAACAATGCTGTCGGTTTGTTTACCAACAATAGCTGACGTTTTGTTTTAACCTAACTTTTTTCCTAACCTGAACTTTAGAGCTAGGATTAATGTCATTGTTGATGTTGAGCAAAATGGTCAACTATGAGAAACTACCCTGTGGGACATTTCGGATCGAAAGCTTTTGATCGCGAACTAACTTACGAGAACAATAAACAATGGACAATTTGTCCATATACAATCCTGGCATCCGCCTGTGCCAAATGCCTGTACAATTTACTGACGGCTTTGATTCTCTGCAGCGTTACATGATATTATTCCTCTGCAATTTCCTGGAGCTTGTTATCGTCTCCGTTCATCATACGGATTAGTTGCAGCAACTTGTCCTCGTTAAAATACAGCAGATTTCGCCACCGAATCTTGCGTTGATCTTCGCAGTAATGGTCAACCTATTATCAGCACACGCTTAATACATAATTAAATACGTAGCAAATATTATAAATTAACAATATGGTTCACTCTTCTATTATCCCCAAGACACGATTTTTCCCGACACTAGCGGCTCTAGTGACGCGAAAGGTGACTACCCTAATAAAAATTGTATGGTTAATTTGCTTAACGACGTGTTCTGGGTATCATCCAAACCATTTGTGGAATAGTTCAATGGTTTGGGTTATCGTTCGTTTATGGTTATTTTTTATTAGGGTAGTACACTGTAAATTGAGCGTAACAAGGCTATCAAAAACAACTCACTGTTGAGTAAAATTTAACCACACGGTAAGAAAAAAATAGTCAAAATTAAGTTTATATATCAAGCGTTTATATCTGATCACGAAGGGTAGGTGTGGGAGCTGCTTCTCGGGCGTCGGTAGCATTGATATTCAGTACGGAAAACAAATCAAGGGAAAAAGTTTATTTCACCCTACTAGGTACTATGTGGGAAGCCAAAAGTAAGTAAAGTCCCATGTACTCAATTAATCAAGTTTTGTTGTTTTTGACATCATCCACATCCAGAGGGCCAGTCACTTTCGAATATATGGGAATGATAGGAAACCATTTGGAAATGCGTGCAGTTTGGCAGTTAACCACTTCATTCGAGCAGTTAAAATGACGTTTACTACCACTCGAACTTTGAAATAAAACATTATTTTGAGATGTTTTCTTCTAGAACCACCAGAAAAGTAGCCAACATTTGTGCATTTCATAAAAAAAATAGAAATTAATTGGTCCAGTGTTGTGAAATCGCTGGTAGAAAGTCACGCCAAAACTGCTTGACAAAGTGGTCAGTTGTCACAAATGACATCAAGATGCCTAGCCGGAGTCAATTTTGTTCTGAATAGTTTTCAATCCGACAAGTAGGCTTACTCAGATTGGACTTTTTCCGCTTTTCGCGCAGTAAGGTCCATTAATGGTTTTGTATTATCGCTCAACCTCGCAAAAAGCATCAAAGTAAATTGATCCTTATGCCACCGAAGAGAAGAATGGGGAGAAGAGGTTACTCTCAATCCACGAAATGTTAGGAGCAACAAGATGGTAACCCATTTCTTATCCAAATAGCTTCAATCATACAGGGTTTTGTCTCTCCCAATTGCGATTTGTAAATAACTGAGCTCAAAATGATCGAAGATTAAAAACTAAGAAAGGGTTCCAGTTCAGTGTGTGCAGGAAAATCTTGTAATTCTCTCTTTATTATCGTTAATTCAGCATATGGATATCAAGATGCACTCTACTGAAAAGTATTGCCATGGGTCATAGCACTACACATATTGATTCTTCTCTTCAGTGTTAAGTCCAGCAAATTTTTCTCCCAAAATTCTCATAGTTGCCGCGTGGTTGCTTTCGTTTTTTCGTACTTGTTTGTACGTTTCCTTAACAAACGCTGCAAATCCTTTAGCTTTCTTCACTGGTGTAGCAATGGTTTCACCGTTTTTGTTTTTCTTGTTCAAAAACAGTTCAATCTGCCCGTGACAATAGGCACAACGGATATTTTCAGTCTTTTTCGATCGGGTGTGGGCGTTGTATCTGGAAAGATGAGAGTAGATCAATTCAACAGCCATTGGAGAACGAGAAGAGATTTCTGGGAGAATGTACATAATAGATAGGCGCGGTACACAAATTAACGTTACGTAAATCCAAATCCAGATTATGTATCCACTCTCCCCTATATAACAATAAGTAACGCTCAACATTACCCCCACACGCACACACGCTATGTTTAAAGGCGACTGATGTGATGATAGTTTGAGACCTCTAGTTCCATAATCTGTTTAAATTTAAAATATTTTATCGGTAAAAATTTGTTTTTTTTTTCAATTTTTATGTTTTTTTTAAACGTAAAAATAAGTTTTATAAATAAATATAAATACGTTACGTAAATCTAAAAACAACAGTTTTTTCTCTAATTCTAAGGAAAATTCACGCGTAAAACATTTTTCCAGTGTTGTCATGGCGAAAATTTGGACTAAAAAAACCGAAAAAATCAAATTTATTTCATATTATATTCACCCATCTTCTTGTTTTCGTTCGAACCGTATTTTCCATACAAAAAACTTTTTTTTTTGTATGGAAAATACGGTTCGAACAAAAACAAGAATATGGGTGATTATCATTTAAGTTCCAACGCAAGGTCTATGTGCCTTCTCGCAGGGCTGGTAGCGATCACTGCTGTCAAAAATAGTGATTTTAGTGACCATGTTGTAGAAATAAGTGACCGAGTAGTGACTTATAGTTGTAAAAATAGTGACTAAAAAGTGACCTAAGAGAAAATAAATGTTTGATGTTTTAGACTTATTCAACAAGTAGCTCATAAACAATTATGTACGAAATGAACCTTTAAAACCAAAGATTTAATAGAATGTTTATGTCCAAACCCACGGTATTAGTCTACTAACTGCAAAAACCTGGAAAACCTGGAATCCTCAGGAAATTTTATTTTTCCTTAAAATACCTGGAAGGCTCAGAGAATTTAATAATTTTCTTACTGAGGATATTTAAAGAACAAAATAAATTTTAAAATACAAGCATTTAATGTTTCTCGTTATTTACATTCACACTTTGAACTTTATAGATCCACAATGAACAGTAACAAATAAATTTAAAAAAAAAACAGAGGCTTTAAATGTTTTTTTTTTTGGTTTGAAACATGCATATTTCCTAAAATTTTTAAATTTGAACTAGTTCTCGACTTAAAAGCTATAATACTTCAAGAAATTTTCGAGAATCTGCAGTAAAAATCAATGCACAGTTTTAAACGTTTGTGGAATTTTATTATAATTTCTAAGGACGTTCTAGGAAAAAAATCTTTCAGAAAAACATCAAATGCAATCTGCTTTTAAGGTAGTTCTGATGAATTTAAGGTTTCTTGTGAAACCTGAAAGTTTTGAGTAAAATTTCAAGAAACGCTAAATTGAGTTAAAAGCAAATTTTAATGGCAAACATACTTTTGAATATAAAAACCAATAAATGATCCATACAATATTGGAAAACGTTCCATAAAAAACATCCAAATGATCCATAAAACATCGGAGAAAATCCTTAAAAAAGTGTGAATGATCCATACAAAATATCAATATGATCCATATTTTATGTCAAATTTAGCAACACAATTGTAAAAATGTACCGCTAAATATCTAAAGAATGAGCATTGAAATTGTACTAATTACACATAAACATATTGCAATTGATCCATAACACATTCAGCAGTAAACCTTAAACTAAAGAAAGTGATCCATAGAAAATCAATTTTGCACACTTAAAAATATAGCCATGTTCGGATTAAGCTAATATAAAGTCTAAACCAATCTTAGTGCTTATAATAAAACCTATTTCAGCTTCAAGCTGTCCAAAACCAGACTGCTCTGAGGAAGTTGCTTTCATTAATCCGAACATTCTTGAAAAGCAACATCGGATATAACCTCAAAATGTCAGAGGAATCAACACCACCGTTGAGTGAAGAACAGAACAGCGATCGAAACTGTACGGTTTGTGAAGGCCATGACCACGTAGATGATATGGTCCAGTGTGATGTCTGCGATTTCTGGACCCATTATAGTAGTGCTAGTAAGACAACATTGCTTTTTTTTTTAATTAATGGATTTGATTTTCTCTAATCAATTCAGCTAAATTTTCACTTTTTTTAAGTTCTTGAAATCTCCATAGTATAACACGCTTAAAATACTCTCACGTTTTCCGGATGTTCATATAATATTTATCACGTTCCAGAAATTTTCCTGGAACTTTGCTTAAGTTCCCTGAGTTTCTCGCAACATCTTTAAGGTTTCTAAAATTTCCTCAATTCTCTCAATTCTATTGAAGATCTCGGTTCTGCTCTGAAATAAATGGAATTCCTGTAAACACCTTTAAATTTCCCTAAAAATCTCGGAACATCTCAAAGGTTCTAGATTTTTTTCAGCACTTCATGGAACTATCCTGATTTTTTTAAATTTACGTTTATATATCTTTAAACTGCACAAAAAGTCTGGACTAAAGCTACGGAAACTGTTTCTCGAGTTCGCTTGACACCTGTGAAGTTCTCTGACATTCTAGGAACTTCATAAAAGTTCCCGAAAATGTTCGGATGCCAAAAGAACCGCTTTGAGGTTCTTAAAGCTTCCAGTAAGTTTCCCATATGTTCAGCGTATTAACTTCCCTTATGTTCCCACAGTTTGTTTATGGAGCTTCACTAAAATTCTCAGCATTTTTTTTTTCATTACTCAGAAGTTCTCCAAAGTTCCTACAATTAGGAACTTAAAATACATGATTTATTTTTTCCTTGATTCTGGCACTTTGAAAATTTTCAATATCTTGAACATGGAATACGAAACTACAAGATATTGAAAAGTTTTAGATCTTAGACTTACTCAAATTAAGTAAGTTTTTTTTTTAACTTTATTACCTGAGAAATTAAGTAAGTGTTAAACTACAACATTCAATGGATTTGATTGTAAAGCTGTTTCTTGAAAACTGATTGCCATGTCTTAAAACAGTTTGGGTAAATTGCTGTTGTTTTTGATCTACCAAAAAAGCATATTTTTAACGCATTTAAAAAATAGCTTTCTTATTATAAACCTGGAATTTATCCGTTAAATAACTGGAAAAATTTGGAAAACTCAGGTAATTCTTTTTAAAAAAAAATAAGATAGAGAAAGACGATTAAACGCCACAAAGCTAAGAATGATCAATCTTGAAATAAATTCACGCTAAAAAAGTTGAAAATAGTGACTGATTAAAAAAAAAAATTACTTTAGTGACTTGGCCTTAAAAAAAAGAGACTTTTTAGTAACTGGCTTGAAAAAAGTGCCCAAGTCACTAAAAAGTGACTCGCTACCAGCCCTGCTTCTGTTATTTATATCATTGTTGTTGTCATGCAATGAGGTACATAAAGATGCAGATCGTCAAATGCATTTGTATAAGCAAACCCGAAAATATTGTAAACACAAATAGTACCGTCACTATTTGCATGGGCAGCATACGGAGCCTTGCGTATGTAGTTGAGATATCGCTTGTATCGTACAGTGGTGTCATTCACACAACATAGCCAATTGCTTCACAATTGTCAGATTTCAAAAGGCAAAACAGCCGAAATCCATTCCTCAAACCCTGAAGTCAGTGATCGTTGCAAATTTCTAACCAGATTACAGTGAAAATAATGAGATTTATCCTAAAGTTCTTTGCGGAAGTTGTTATCTTTCTGTGTACAGGTGTTCAAAAGGTGATATGATAATTGTATGTAAATAATTGTAATCTAATAGCTATCTCCTTCTGATTTTAGAAATGACCATATAGTGCGAACCAGTGCTGTAAATTTTCATATCATTCGATTGAAGATGAACCAATACAACCATTCAATCAATTCTGTGTAAACGAATTATTACATGACCCCTTTCTCATTCGAAGCTCAATGTCACTGTCAATTGAGTCACTTACTATCATTTGATATACGACAATGGAGTATGGAAGAAGCAAAATGGTCCCAAACAGACAAGTTGACCCGATGTTGGATCAATGTAAGGCAAATTTAAAGTCGATGTCGACCCAATGTTGTGTTGTTGTTGGGTCAATTTTGAATTTATGTCGGGTCAATGTCGGGTCAACATCGGGTTGGGGTTTGGTAGAAGTTAGGTTGGTGTCGGGTTGGCTTAGCTTTTTCACCGGAATGTCGACCAGAGCTCCGTTTATGTGTAGGTCACACTCAACTGAATTTTTTTTTCCTTGGATTTGTTTTTCATCGATCTTGTTTTCCGTGCTGAGCACCAATGCTACCGACGCCAGGAAGGCAGCTCCCACACCTGGACCCTACCTATCGACCCATCAACTCATGAACCGGGGACCAACGGCTTTACTTCCCATCCGAAGAAAGGCGTGATCAGAGATGTTATGCCTCAGAACATCCCGGTGGCGCCGACTGGGATTGAACCCAGGCCTGGTGGGGTGAGAGGCAATCACGCTTACCACTACACCACCGGCACCGCTCACTCAATTGAATGATATATAGCGTTTCTCAAATGAGAATGATCCATACCTTCGTCAAATGCCTAAGCAACTGATATCACCCATTCGGAGGAGGTCCCCTTTGATAGCGAATAGCTACTTATTACTGATTTTGAGAATTTACAGCACTGGTGAGAACCCGTAAAAATACGAACCACGATTCCTGCCATATTTGCCAGGTAGCCAGAGAAACGTTGACGTGCCTCACTGAAATCTAGGACAGCGGACTGCCCCCCCCCCTAACTCAGCCCCAAATTATTATTTTTTAGAGTTCAAGTATCTAGAAAAAAGTTTAAATTTTAAGTTTAACTAGTTGTCAATTTCTTTTCAATGTATAACTTCCACATTTGTTTGAGTTTTCGAATCAAATTGAAGTTAGATTCATTGTTTCAGAAAACTCAAAAAAAAGCAACATTTTTTTTCTTCAAATCTTTATTTTAGAGATTTTAGCCTAAGGCTAGTTCATCTCTAAAAAGCAACAATATTTTTTTCTTGATAATTACAGACTCAGTTCCACACAGATTCGCAAATCGTTTCGGATCGACCTTTTACGATTATGATGAAACTTTGCACAGTTGTTTGTTATTGCCCAACATGCCATTTTACATATATGGTTCCCTAGTTTTGCACACGACTAACACTTGAAAAGGGCTTATGCAAAAATGATACACATCAATCGAAAAACATATATCTCGTGAACGATTTGTTTGATCGAGATGATGTCTTAGAAGAAGTTGCGGACGCTGTAAAAAATTATATTTTTTTTACAAAAAAAAAACAAAATTATCAAAAAAAATTTAAATTACGCAAGTTGCATATTTATTTTAAATTATTTTTTATATTTATTTTGTAGTTTAGATAAAGTAATACTTACTGACACTGTGCATTTGCTGGGCAAATCATAAAAAAAAAGTTATGAATTATTGAAAAAATACGTATTTTCCAAAATCTACAGTTATCGAATATTTTTAAAATAGTGTTAATATTAAAACAGATTAAATTTACAACAAAAAAGCTCATAATTCTTAAATTGCCCAAAGTTGTTATTTTCGAGATACACGTAGGTAAATTCACTTATCGCATAATTTGAGCAATTTTCGCTCTTTTGAGATGTTATTCGTGAGTGTTCAATCTTGAAAATATTTTTAACAAAAAGCCCAAATAATTTCCTTAAACTTTGCTGTTCACAGTTTTTTAATCATACGCATGAGTTAAGATATAACTAATTAGCTAAACTAGCTAGCCGTATATAGGGCCAAACAGAAAAATACACTTTTCCCATACCGTCTCTTACTCATAATGCTGCTAGTATACATGTGAAATTCTCGCATATGAAATATCTCAGGTTCTTGACCAGATAGAAAATTACTGTCGTCGGCAAAGTTGTTCAGGATATCACAAAATTTTTGCTCGTGTACAGTTGTTCAAAATTTTCTCACTACGTAGAGCTAGTGAAATGTGAAATTCTCGCCTGTGATATATCTTGAGATCCTGACCATATAGCAAGTTACTGTCTAGAACAAAGTTGTTCAGGAGGTTAACGCCTATTTTTGCTGCACAATGTTTCAGAATTTTCTCACTACATAGCGCGTTTCTCATCCCAATTTATATATCCACAAATCTTCACCAGTAAAAAAAATCCAGAATATATTTGTCTTATCTTATGTATTATATTAGATTATTTTATATCTTAGGCAGATGTAAATTGTATTTTTATTTTATGATATTTGATATGCGAGAATTGACCGCCAAGTTTTGAGAAATTTCTAAACTACTGTTCATCAACCAAAAGATTTTTATCTCCTTAACAGCTTTGCCAAATACAATAAATTTCTAGCTGTTCAGGATCTCGAGATACATGCGAAGATTTCAGGTATATTCTAGCGGCGCGTAGTGAGAAAATTCTGTACTGTCGACCAACGAACAACAAAACCGAAGACAGTACCTTTCTATCTGGTTAGGATCTCGAGATATTTTATATGAGAATTTCACGTGTATACTAGCGCCGCGTATTGAGAAAATTTTGAACTATTGTGCACCAAGAAATAGGCTTTGATCTCATCAACAACTTTCCCGACGACAGTAACTTTCTATCTGGTCATGATCTCGAGATATGTCACATGCGATAATTTCACATGTATTCTAACGCTACGTAGTGAGAAAATTCTGAACTACTCTCCACCAGCGAAAAGGTTATGATCTATAAAACAACTTTGCGGAAGACAGTAACTTTCTATCTGGTCAGAATCTCGGGATTTTCCATGTTGAAACCAATTAGGTCAAATCCCACGTAGTACGGACACCGTTAACGCGGTTTCCATTCACATTTTCTCTATTATCCGCGTTTTTTGGGGGATAACTGTGATAAAAGTTTAGCTTGTTTAGTTAAAAACAAGTTTTTTAAGGAATACCCGTTGGTTTCATATCGATTGGTAAAGGGTGTCCACGATGAAATTGCCACACACAAAATTGATTCGCAAAATTCGAGTTTTCATCCGATTGCCATCAAATTTTCAGGGATTGAGAAATAACTATTAAACTTCATTTTACCATTTTACTCGTATTTTATTTACAGTCCATACGCAAATGCCCGCACCTTGGCCTTAACCCCGGACATAAGATTCTGCACAACCTGTGAATCAACCGTTTTTTGCATGTAAACCCATACTTTCTTCAGTTCCTCGACTGTCTTCACTACCTTAGGTCGTTTAAGAAGGTGCTGCTTCATAATCGCCCAGTACTTCTCGATGGGGCGGAGCTCCGGAGTGTTGGGAGGGTTGAACATTTTCGGCACGAAATTGATCTTATTGTCCGCATACCACTTCAGCACGTCCTTGGAGTAGTGGCATGAGGCCAAATCCGGCCAGAAGATTGTTGGGACGTTGTGGGCCTTCAGGAGAGGAAGCAGCCGCTTCTGGAGGCACTTTTTTATGTACACCTGTCCGTTCATCGTGTCCTGGGTCACGAAAGGTGCACTCCGCTTCCCGCACGTGCAGATGGCTTGCCAAACCAGGAATTTCTTCGCAAATTTGGACATCTTCTGAGTGCGGACATGCTCCGGAACGCTGAACTTATCCTTGGCCGTGAAAAACAGGTTACCGGGGATCTGTTTGAAGTCGGCCTTCACATATGTTTCGTCGTCCATGATGCAGCATTCAACTTTCGTCAGCATGTTGAGGTACAACTTCCTGGCACGGGTTTTGGCGGACTTGTTCTGCTTCTCGTCGCGATTAGGGGCCTTTTGTACCTTGAACGTTCGAAGCCCAGCCTTAGTTTTGGCTTTCTGGACAAAACTTCGGCTTAGGTGCAGCTTCTTAGCCTCATCTCTAACGGAGGCGTTCGGATTTCGGTTGAAGGCCCCAACTACCCGGTTGTGATTTTTGGTGTTGTACGGAATACTTTTTCCTTCACTTCTGGGCTTCCGATCGGTGGTCAACCGTTCCTCGAACCGCTTAATCACTTGCGACACCGTGGAATTCGCGATTCCCAACGTTTTAGCGATGGAACGATGCGAGAGATCCTTGTTCTCGTGATGAATGCGCAAGATTTGATCACGCACGAGCTGTTCTTTCGACTCCATTTCCGCGAGTTTTGATCACAGGACTTTAAAACTTGCAGGATGTAAATAATGCACTATGAACTAAATCCACCCAAATTTTCATTAAATTCTACCCAACGGTTAAAAAGTTAGAGCAATTTCATAGTGTGGCAATTTCATCGTGGACACCCTTTAGCTCGGCTGCAAAAGGGCAATGGAAAACTACTGTTGTACAAAGTACAACGCGCGAGTACTCGTGTTACAAAAGTTGGCGCGAGTAACGGAGGGTTAAACATAAAATACGTTTGAAATCATCCTAATTTATTTTTGTGGCCAGTACAAACTGAGTTTACGTTTATATTTACCTCAAACATTTTTAGTTCGATAATATATTTTTTCTGCGTGGCACATAGTATTTGCGTCTAACCTAATTCTCCATAAAAAGAGCTTCAGTAAAAGAAAAGATATTCTTATCTATTAACTAAAAAGTACGTCACAATATCTACCGTTAAACTTAGATTTGCCATAGAAATATATGGATAAAGGTCGATTTTTGCGGTTTTTTAGTTCAACTTTTCGCCATGACGACACAGAATAAATGTTTTTACACATAAATTTTCCTTAGAATTAGCGGAAAACTGTTGTTTTTAGATTTACGATATCTTGTTGGAATATTTTTTCAAAAATCAAAACAATTTTTTTACGTAAAAATATTTTAAATCTTACCATTATGAAACTAGTGGTCCCAAACTATCATCTTATGAAATGAAATTTAAGGTACATTCACTTTGAATAAAAGTCGCCTTTAAACATAGCGTGCCCCACAGATTCATGTCTGTTTGTCTATGGTAGTATTATTAACGGGAGTACTACGAAAGGCCGAATCACAAAAAGCAGAAAACATAAAAGTACGGAATACACAAAAGGCTGAAACACAGAAGGCCAAAAAAGCTCGGGAAATGACAAAGCACGCGCTCGCACCGGTCCACTTGGTCGCTTCCCCGACTTGGGCTTTTGTTAATTTGTCTTTAATAAATTAAATTACATTATTGAAGTAAAGTTACAATAATTATTAATCTTATTCTTTGAAATAAAATATAATGGAAGCTACTTAATAAAAAAACCTAAAATTTGGGTTGCTTTATTTTTATGTATATTTGAGTGTTTAACGATGATTTAATGACAAGATGCCTTCGTTTTTTTTTGTGAATGTGGACCATTCAACGAGGTGACTCGAGTTGTAAGAGCACAAAGGCTTCAGATGCGGAATGAGAGAGAAAGTGATAGTTAGCTTTATTTTTCCAGATTGAGTATTCAATGACGATGATGACTTCATTCAAGATGAAATTCAATATGGGAGGTATTCTCAAATCGAAAATCGTCATTAGCAGCGATATTGCTCTTGGTCCGTTTTGCTGAACGTTCTAGTTACACAGATTCAACTGCTTGCGCAACTCGCTACCCAATCAGAATGTTGTGTATGCGTAAATAAACCGTTCACCTCTATCGCATCTCTCATTTCTTTACCCTTCTCTTACCCGCAGCTTACCACTTACTGGCTTTTCCCAAAAAGTCAGTTAGTGAGAACACCTCTATAGGATAATTTCATCTTGGCTTCATTTTTTGTGAATGCAAACCATTTAACGAGCCGAGTTAATTGTGCGAGCAAAAAGGCTAAAGGCCAGCGCACAATAGATACGTTTTCAGGTTTTTTGACAGTTAGCCCATGCATTATCTGTCAAAAAACCCGAAAACGTATCTATTGTGCGCCGGCCTTAACAGATTGTTTGGATGCGGTTTTCAACAAATTCAGTTTTTGATAAATTTTCGGCCTTTTGTGGTACCTTAGAATATTTTCGGCCTTTTGTGATTCGGCTATCTGTACAGGTCCCTTATTAACCCATTTATTATTTACCTGGCTTTACACAAGACGCATTGATAAGTGTATTTGTATTCGATTTCATACTGGTGACACACGGTGATGGACGGTAGTTCTGGAAAAGCTCGTCTGGCACGATGTGTCCAACTTTTCCAATGTTTCCCATGCCCGTTTTCTGCATTGAACATCCAGGCAGCTGCATGACACATTTCATGTACAAGAGTAGACCGCATTCGTTCCGCACACGTTAAAACTTTGTCACTAAGTTCTATCCTGCAAGACCGTTCACCATTCCTGTTGTTATATGAGATGGGCATAAAACATTATTATAAAGCCAAACTACCAAACCAGGTTTTAGAAAAAAAGCATATTTTGATCTTAATTTACTTTGAAAATTTATCTAGGTCTTGGATTTTAGATATTGCTTCATAGTTAAAGATCGTGATTATTTTTTGAAGTATCAGAATTTGATCAGTCCATGATCTTTAAAATTCGTCATTTTTTTTGAGTTCCAGATTCTGAAAATTGGAATTTTTGAGGTCCTATCCAGTAATGTGATGTGATGTGATTAGAAGCCACCACCAGTGCAGGACTTGCCATAACGTACGGTTCCTCCTAATGGCAAGATCAGACTATGCAACCCTGCAATATTTACTGTTCCGTTGTGTGAAGGGCCAAAAACGGAGGTGTGGACCTGTAAGTTGATGCACTTACACAATATCCACTGTAGGGATAGAGAATCTCCTTCCAACGGAACGCTCTTATTACAGGACATACATAGAATGCAATACACATTAAGATTTCCGTCTGGTGGTTTGTTCGAAATAGGGTGCATCAGACTCACTGTAGACTGTTAGAAGATAACTATACCCTCGATAATATCGATCCAAGGATTTCCATCAAAGAAGGCATAACTATTTCCCATGATTTGGGCCTGGCAACCACGACTCCCTCCTCCAGCCTACAATTTTTCTGATACCCTTTATCCCCCCTTCCCCGTTGTAATTGAATATAGTGTCATTAAAGATTATAATGTGAAATTGATATTATTTGTTAATACTACAAGTCATATAAAAGTTTATGTTATTCACTGTATTTTTTTTAATATAAACTTTTGACCAATATTTGTATGATAAATGAATTACTCACCCCAACTCCTTTAAACCTCTGCTTGGGCTTGGGCTACCCAGCAAAAAAAAGTAATAGCGATCAACGTTATGCAAACTGATGTATGAAATAGTGATGTAATAGCAAAAAGCAGACACCATATTACAGTCTTTCGTCGCTGATATTGACGTAGGATTACGTCTTTGTGGACTATACTGGGGGTGCAATACAAAAAATGTGTGACGAAATAGTGTCAACTTTTCAAATTCAATCTTCGGATGGGAAGTAAAGCCGTTGGTCCCCGGTTCATGAGTTGATGGGTCGATAGGTAGGATCCAGGTGTGGGAGCTACCTTCCTGGCACGTCGGTAGCATTGGTGCTCAGCACGGAAAACAAGATCGACGAAAAAAACAAACCAAAGGAAAAAAAATCTCAATTACACCATTCAGATTGAATGTAAGATTTGTTGGGTATAAAGATGATAGCTGTTTATTAAAGGGTTAACTATTGAAAATTGATCTGTAGAAAAGCTAAAGCTGAATGAAATTCAAATTATGATCGCTTGAATCAATAACATCAATCACATAATTCCAAATTCAAAATAAATTACATTTCATTTTAACCTACCGTATGCGTGATAATGTTTGCACCATTGAGCAAGGCCAAAATTAAAAAAAATTCTCAAAAATTTCGTTTTTGAGTTTTTTTTATTTATACAAAGGGGGGATTTTTCTCAGAGTCTTAAACTATGTTAATCATCGATCGAGTTTCCACTTGCTGCAATTACGGTCTTCACACGCTTCCGGAATGCACGGCAGGTTCTAATAACCCTAATAAACAAATACCATAAACGAACTGTATCCCGGATGGGTAAACTATCCCACAAATGGTTTGGATGATACCCCAAACACGTCGTTAAGCTCTATTTTATGGTTATTTTTATTAGGGAATGTAGTCTGGATCCATTTCTGTCCAGGTACGGGTCAATGTTTGTCTGAGGCTTGCTGTACTCGGGTGGCGTTTATTTATTTATTTGATTTATTTATTGTTTATCAGTCAACAGGTAAAATGTTTACCCCAATGACACTTGTTCTACAACTAAATACAAAACTAACGAATAACATAAATTAACATAAAACTCGTTTAAACTACGCTTATTTGTTTCTCGTGACACGTTGAAATCGTACACATAATAACACCGGTTGAATACACGGGACATGCTTCGCAAAGGTTCGTGTAAGCCATAATTAGTTCTTGCCGGAGGGATGGTGATAAACGAGTGTGACCGAAGATTGCGACGACGTGTGTTGATGTCCAAGAGACTAAGAAGCGGACTGTCAATGTTGCCTTGCAGAAGATCCCCAACAAAGCACGCTTTTGCCACGTTGCGTCTTGCTTCTAGTAATTCCAGATTTATAAGTAGACAACGGCTTTCATAACTGGGCAGGTTGAATGGATCTCTCCACCTAAGATGACGTAGAGCGAACCGGACGAATTTTCGCTGAGCAGCTTCGATGCGTTGAATTTCATTCTGGTAATAAGGAGACCAGACGATAGACGAATACTCCAAGATAGGGCGCACAATTGAGCAGTATAAGAACAGGCCTTGGCCTTCATGACGCGCCATATTAAGTAATCCAGCGGATTAAGATCGGGGTTGGATGGCGGCCACATATCCTTCACTCAGAACGGAAGATGTTCCTGCAACCACTTCTGAGTGCGGTTCGAGGTGTGGCACGGAGCCCCATCTTGTTGAAATACAACATTTGGCTTCGGACCGTACAGTTCTTTGATCCACAGAAGAACATACTTACTTAAAATCCCGATGTAGACCTCCGTGTTGACCTTGTCGCCTTCTGGAATGAACACCAGGTCCATTTTTTGCCATCGGAAGCCACCAATCCAAACACCACTAATATACCGGTCGGTTCTGGAATTTGATACGGGATCGACGGTAAACATTATTATTATTTAGCTTTATTTAGGAGGCTTTCAGCCTTAGGCTGGTTCGCCTCCACTGCTCGACGGTAAACATGCTCTCGTCGGTGAACAGGATTACCGGATTTTTTTCGCTTAAGGAAGTTCAAGATTTTCTTGCATCGTTCAACTCGTAGCTCTCGGATGCGGTTGGTAATCATGTGAGTTTTTTTTCCGTGCCCTCGACTTCGCCCCGCAATCTTCCTTTACGATCTTCCGTGCCGTAAAGTCACTGATCCCGTGTTCCTTTGCCATTTTCCTTATTGAACGCACTGGATTCACCCGAATCTTCCTTTTGATAGCAGCGATAACCCTCGGAACCCGAGCTGACCTCGGACGACCTATGGCCACCTTCGCGGATAGTTGTCCTTTCTTTTCTCGGTCCTTTTGACGGTCCACCGGGACACTCCCAAGGTGATTGAAATGTCTTTTTGCGACATTTGCGCGTGGGACAAATCACGAATACGCTGCCACTTCGTCATGGTGCAACTGTCAAACTAAGTAAATCATTTTCTTTTATACACAGCCTACTACGGTATGAGCTATACGTTACGTGCATGCAAAGAAAACTAAGGCATTGTATGCACAGGTGAAACGGGAACCTTATTTGTACGATGGTGCAAACATTATCACGCATACGGTAGGTGCTCATTCCATCTCGCACGCTGAGCCGGTCAAGTCGCATCGGGCTCGTTGTACGACACTATTATTTGAGTTTTTGACTTTTTGAGTTTTTCCCCACGTGAGGGTTTTTTTCTCGCCAAAGTTAGTTGGCGTAGTATTAAACACCGAATCGTCGAATTCTGAAGGGCCACCCACATTAGTTCCGTTTGCGTTGCGTTGACGTAAATTTGACAGTTAGACAATAGATTTAGCTGTCACTTTGCCGCAACGCGTCCGATCCGGACCTAATGTGCGTGGGCCTTGAGAGTGGAAGGGAGAGAAGTAGGTAGTGGTAATAAGTCGATGTACTTTTTAATTCATAGCACTCGCAGCTCAGCTGTGGTGCTGTTTCGATGGAGGAATGTGGAGCTCCACTGCGTCTCTATACACATTTAGATTTTTTTTACAGGAGTCAGTATTTTTTACTGGATTTTTGGATTACTGAAAAACTCGGTTAAAATTCAAATGACTGTTATTCGTAAAGATTGGATAAAATCGAAATTTTTTATTTATCATCATTACACGGGGTTAACAGAAGTTAGTCTGTAAATTTTCGTAACACATTTTCTCAACTTTGAATTTTTACAGATTTTTTAAATTTTACCGAAGAGTTCCGCAATTCAAAAACTCGGTCAAAATTACTGACTCGATAAGTGTGTACTAATGTATGGTTGGTGAAGAGGCTAGCATGTGGAGGGTATTCTCGGGCTAGTGAATGCCACCCATCCCCACTTATAATTCAGTAATACACTATTTATTCATGTCTGTTTGATATGTTTACAAAGTTTGCAAACAGAAATAAGCATTGCAGTGTAGTTACCACATTCCAAGTCATTGACTTCAGATAACTGTTCAAAGTCCCAGATTACGTGTCATATCTAGGAAATTTATGCGCTTGTGGTAGTGGTTATCACGAGATCGACCGCGTGCTTTGATCATGCACGCTACATTGTGCTAGATCGGAGTTATCTGCATCCCTCAGGGCCCGAGGAAAACAACCTATGCGACCCGTTAGAGAAATCTTGGCGAGCCGAGATCTCGACTATTTTAATTTAATTTATGTGTTTTTAAACGGATCGATCTGAGGATTTAGTAGTTAGTGTCATCTTGTGTTCTCTCAAGTTGCTAGGTCCCCATCGGTGTACCTCCATGTTTGTCTTTTTCTCCAGTATGTCACTTAGTTCTAGATCAAGAGCATATTGCTCGAAAAAACCTTGTGTTCTCAATCCCTACCCTGCCATCCGTTTGTTACAATTTGTTACCCCTAATCTCGAGATAGCCGCGAGTAATCGGCCCCCGCTTTACTAACGTTATTTTTGAGTAATTATGTAAGCCAAACGATGAATATCGGCTCCGCAAAGCTACGGCAAATTAGCCTGGAAAAATAAACGCATTAAAAAAAACAACTTAGGTTGTTCAGTTACTACAGGAACTTACCAGCCTTAATTGTTATGATATATATCTAAGTAGTTTTACATTGCTCCTGCCTTGAAAATTCTTGATGAACATTTCAAATGGTCCTATCTACTTTGATCGATTCTCTTCAT